GAGATGCATGCACCCTATTGTGGAGTTAGAGCTTTAGGGTTTAGGGTTCTGGGGCTTTAGGGCTTTAGGGTTTAGGGTTTTAGGGTTTAGGGTTTTAGGGTTTAGGGTTTAAGCTTTAGGAATTTAGGGTTTAGGGTTTCCCTACTGCCCCGCTCTATACTACCCCCGACAGGTCCCCTTTAGTTAACCTTACTTAGCCCTAAATAACCTCAATTAAGGTGGGAACCTAGGGGGGGTTAGTATAGAGAGGGGTAGTAGGGGGAACCCATGAAAGCTTGATGAGGATTTCTCAAAGGGGGACTACCGATTGAACATGGCTTTGAAAGAGATCACAAGGCTCCCCCCCTTTAAGACGGTACCTTTGTCTTTGTGACGTTCCCATCCAGCAATTGCACCAGGATTTCCTCGAACAATGCCGGCTTATCCCAAAGCTGGTCTGGGAAACCCTCCGCGGGGGGTGGTTGGCCACGTTCTTACCAACCCTGCGCCCCCTTCAATCATCCTTGCCTGCGTCTGCGATGGTAGTCAGGCCACCCCTGAGCATGTCAACTCAACACTGCTTCCATAGGACAGGGTCGGGTAAGATTGCTGAAGCCTCTAGCAGCCCTAGCATGATTGTGACAGGCCCAGGCATTCACTTAATTAGCGGCGGATTTCTGAAATTCCCAGTAAGAAGACCCTCAGACATCACAAAGGCTCATGGCTGCCAAACCGTTGTCAGTGAAGTGCTTGGAATCTGCATGTCATGCTAGGCTGCTAGATGAAGAAGCCCTTCAAAATGATCACCTGAAAAAGACTATGCAACAACTGGCTAGGGTTCATTCCCAGGGGCCCGAAGATGAGACAGAGACCCCAAGAAACTCAGAGAAGGACTCCTTCAAAGGAGGTTGTAGGGGAATTCGGGGATTTGTAGAGAGCATTCTGTGTGTCGGGGTTCTCTAAACATGCGACAGCAGGACACGTTGGAACTCAAAGGCCCGCACGCGCACTTGTCAAGGACCTGCAGGTGCCACCAAACAAAGTTTTGAAAGCCCTCAAACAGGTGTTCGGAATCGGAGACCTGTCTACCTTTCTTTCCATTTGAGGT